GGCGTGCTGTGAATGTCACACAGCCGAGGAGACACGGCCCGTCCTGGTGGCCACTGTCCACTCCGCCGGCCCGGAGGCCGTGTGGGCGCCCGCGCCTCTCCCGCCCCCCGGGGCTGCCAGCACATTAGAGATGGATTTTAATTTCATTTTAACAAAATAGCTGTCTCCGCTGGAAGGAGCATCAAGCGTCAAGGAAGGGCCCGTCTGGAGCGGAGTCGCGTTGAACAGACCTCCGCGCTGTCATTGATTTTCCGGGAAGAAAAAAATCGCCTCCGGCTACTAAACCGAATTAGTAGTCACTGATGACCAATTATTTCAGCCGCCGTGAGCGGGGAGCCGCACTGAAATCCGGTTTGTCAGACCCAAGGCTGCCTCCTCCAACACCTTTCAACGCATGTGTACCTGAGTCCCTCAGAAGGTGCCCGCAGCTCCCCTGCTCCGCCAACTTCTCCGGCTCCGCCAAGTTTTAATGAGCGGCTCAGATGAAGACGGGCTGCCATGAAAGGGGCCCCTCTAATCCACAGAGCGCGCTGCGGCAGCGCGGAGCCGCGCGGGCAAATCAGAGCTGTCAGCCCTCACCCCCGCGCGCACCAAGTGTCAGCCTAATGTTTGCAAATGATCATCTCCGGCCCCCTCGCTCCCCGGCGCCTGCGTCGGAGATCAACCCCCGGTCTGGGGTATCAATCGCCAGGCAGCGAGATGGACTTGATGGAACTAATTTGAGGTTTCCTGCAGGCCTACCCCGAGCCGGCAGGCTTCACTTCGCGTCGTCCCCGGCTTTGACACCGTTTTGCGGTTAGTGGGAATGTCAGGCTGGTCAGGAACTTTCCCGAGCCGTTCCTGCCAGGTTATCAGCAAATAATTTGTCTGGGCCCTGGGCGGCAGCCTCGCCGTTCCCCAGGCGGGCCGACCAGAAACAGAGGAAGCCCTGAGTGGAGAGCCTGGGACCCCCAGGACGGGACCACCAGGGCGTCGGACGATCGGCTGCTCTGGGTCGAGGGCACACCGTCGGGGAAGTCAAATGTAGAAAATGACAACTTGACTCCACCGGCCGGGCCCAGAGCAGGACCAGCGGCCGGGCCACCGGGACAAGCCACTGGGACCACTCAGACCCGCTTTGGGGTCCTGGCCCACAGGGGAGCCCAATTTGGAGCCTGGACCCGCCCCTTGGCTGCTCCCAGGCCACAAGCAAACCTCAGGCAAGTTGCTTCGTTTCTCCGAGCCTCAGTTTCCCCATCTGAAAGCAGGAATGCTCGTCTTCGCTCTCAGAGTCATAAGGAGTCACCGGGACTGTAGCTGAAGTGTTCACTGTGGGCTCGGTACAGTAAGTGCTCACTAGACTGGGGGGCATGTGTGAATCTCCGTTGTCCGCCGGCGCCCATCAGGCCAGTCCCGAGGTGTGGTGCTAGCCCGGCCGGGCCCCCTGGCTCTGCTCATGCCGATCCCTCTGTCCAGAGACCCCTCCTGGCCATCTTCTGCTCAAACCCGAAGACCCATCAAAAGGTGGAGGGGGGCTTTCCTCGTCCCACGCTGCTGCTCAACGAACCGTTCTCTCCTCTGAGCGCCAAAGGCTGTCCGTCCCTACACGGCGCTCAGCCTTCAGTACTGCGAGGGCCAGGGCTGCAGGGCAACAAGCCCACAGGCTCCCAGTGAAAATGCAGCACGTCACTCACTGGCTGTGTGGTCTTGGGCAAGACACTGAACTTCTCTGGGCCTCTGATTTCTCATCTGTGAAATGGGCATATTCACATCTGTCTCTAGAGTTGTTGTCCTGAGGACAGAGGACGCAGCAGGAAGCCTGGACTCTGACGATTATCGTTACGGCTGCCACAGGCCCTGTGACCCCAGATGCAGGGAGCAAGCCCCTGGGAAGGTCGGGGGCCCCACCTGGGAGTGGCCCGGCCCCCTGGGTTTGGCCTCTAGCTGCAGCCGGCCTGCTGGCCTGTCCCCTTCGGTCTTTGCAGAAGTCAGTTGCACGTTCTCTCGGCTGCAGACACTGGCCCGAGGGGTGGGAGTCCAGGCCTTGCGCCTGGAGTGTGCTGTGTGACCCTGGGCCAGCCATTTGACCTCTCTGGGCTCGGCTTCCCCGCACCGTTCCCACCTCATTTAGTGAGGATAAATAATTCAGAGCTTCCGTGTGAACCCCTCCAGCTCCTCCCAACAAAGCTCTAACCGAGACCACGGGGCCTTCAGCCTGTGGCAAAAATCATTCGTTTAGGGGGGGTAGGGGGGGGATGCCTTTCTGCATTATAAAGAACTACCCTTCCCTTTTTAAAAACTGAACATGTTGTAAGGTAGCAGCCGGAAACAGCTGTGGAAGAAAACAAGAGACCTGGCTCCTAAAGATGCATCCGGAGGAGCCGAGCACTCGGGGAAGATGCTGAACCCCCCCCCCCCCGCCCCGGCGCGGGGCAGGCAGGGCCCCCAGGCCCAGAGGCCGGCCACCCTCCACCGAAAAGGGGGCGTCTGGTCTGATGTTCGAGGGGCTGGGCCTGGCAGGGGGCGGGGCATGGGCTGGGCTCTCGTCCTGACACTGAGTCTGGGGACCCAGATCCATCGCCCCATCCCTGGCTATGTGGCCCCAGCCAATCACACAACTTTCAGACTTGATTTCTTTCTTCCTTTTTCCCTCTCTCTCCCTCTCCCTCTCCCTCTCCCTCTCCTTCTCTCTCTCTCTCTCCCCCCCTCTTTCTCCCTCTCCCCCCCCACTCTCTCCCTCTCCCCTCTCCCTTTCTCTCTCTCTCTCTCTCTCTCTCTCTCTCTCTCTCTCTCTCTGCCTCTCTCTCTTTCAGCTTAGGCTTAGTCTAAGAGATGGGAGGCCATTGAGGGTGCTTTAAGAAGGGGTGCTGTGGCCCGGCTGGCATAGCTTCCCCGTCAGGGCACATGCCCAGTTTGTGGGTTTGATCCCCAGTGTGGGGCGTGCAGGAGGCAGCCAATCAATGATTCTCTCTCATCATTGATGTTTCTCTCTCTCTCTCTCCCTCTCCCTTCCTCTCTGAAATCAATAAAAATATATTTTAAAAGCCCTGGCTGGTTTGGCTCAGTGGATAGAGCGTTGGCCTGAGGACTAAAGGGTCCCAGGTTTGATTCTGGCCAAGGGCCCATGGGTTGTGGGCTCGATCCCTGCCCAGTGGGGGGCATGCAGGAGGCAGCCAATCAATAATTCTCATCATTGATGTTTTTATCTCTCTATCTCTCTCCCTTCCTCTCTGAAATCAATAAAAAGTATATATTAAATATATATATATATTTTTAAAAGGGGGGGGGTGATGTGATCCAATCTACACCCCGAGTTCTCCCCAGGTCAGCAAGGCCCCCACCTTAGTATCCAAGTTACAGAGCCAGGGCAGACCTGCCCGATGTCCCTGTGCCCCCAGGTTTGTCAGGAGTGCCTCCTGCCTCTGCCCAGGTGAGAAGAACCTTGGCAGGGGCGGGCACAGCGTCAGCAGGCCGCAGGATGGGGAGGGGAGGGGGCAGGCTCGCTGTGATGCCTGCCATGGGGGCTGGGAAGACAGTGTCTCAGCGAAGGCCTCTGGGTAGATGTTGCCAGATCACCGTCCAGTGTCCCTGGAAAGCATGGCTGTAAATGAGGCGGCTCAGAAGCCTGGGGCGGGTACTGATTAAGCAATAAAGTCCCCGCAGGGGCAAAGGGGCAGGACAGCAAAGAGCCCTGGGCGTGGCTATGCACAGGCTGCCAGGAAGAGGCCTCCGAGCACCTCCTGTTTCTAAGCCGCTGCCCCTCCCTGCAAACAGGGACCCCTGAGGGGTCCGCGTGGGGAGCGTCCCGATTTGTACACGCTGACCTTGGTGCAGAGCCAGGCTGAGGGCTGGGGTCTGGGGTCCTAGCGGCACGGCCTTGGGGTGGTTTGTCGTGTCTGTGACGGAAGGTCACGGGTAATACAGGGCTCCCAACCTTTCCCAGGGCGCACCCACCTCTGAGCCTGTGGATCCTCTCCCCAGACAATGCCTGTGCACCCGCCCAGAAGTGCCATCTGCCCTTCATGGGACTCAGGGGGCTCGGGGTGACGGCTGGATCAGGCACCCCCAGATCCACTGACGGGGACGAGGCTCTGACACTGCCCCGGGGTCCTGCGCCCCCAGAGAGCAGAGAGCGCGCCGCACGCTGCCTGGGCTCCTCCCGCTGTGGGGCTGTGTCCAGGCTGAGGTCCTGCGCTGAGAGGTACGAGCTGCAAGCCGTTTCTACCAGTGTTTCCCAAAGTCTGCCCGAGGAACCCCGGGGGGTCCGTGCCCTGGGCCTGCCGTAACAAACCGCCACAAACTTGGTGTCTTAACACAACAGAAGCGCTGGAGGCCAGGGGTGGGCAGGGCCGCGCCCCCTGGAGGCCACGGAGGGTCTTTCCCTGCTCCCCCTTCCCACTCCTGGGGGCCTGGGCTCCTGACAGGGGCTCCCACCTCTGCCTCCTCCTCACAGCACCCTCTCCGGTCCCTGCGTCTCGCTTCCCTGCATCTCTCACAGGGACACCGTCTGGGTCTGGGCCCACCCTGAACAGCACGCACATGATGCCTTCCCCCATCTTGCGATCGCTCACCTGCCCCCAACTGCTAAAGCCCTTTTCCCAGACCGTCCTGGCCACCAGGCTCCGGGGTCAGGACGGACATGGCCTGGGGGAGGCACCATTCGCCGCTCCGCCCCCTCAAACCCCGGCCTGTACTGGTGACGAAGCTCGGGTCCGAGGGAAAGTCAGGAAGGAGTGAATGGGGAGGACAGAGAGCTTTCTCCACTGCTTTGTTTTTCCTTTTTCTCTTTTTCACTTTTTATGAAAAATTTCAAATATGCACGAAAGGAGAGCCAATAGGGCCCAACGCTCCTGGGGTGAACCCTCACCTCAGCCTCAACTGTCATCCGTGTTTGTGGGTGACCATGTGGGGCACCCGCTCCTCGGGAGAGGGGTTTTCCCCGGAGCCCAGATGGCCGGTGGGTGGCCCCCAGAGGGCGGGTGGCCGGGGGAGGGTGCCTCACACGCCGGCCTCGCCCGCAGGCCTTCCACGCCCCTGTTCGACCTGCTGCAGCACCAGTACCAGAAGCTGTGGGTGCAGGAGCAGAAGGCCACCCAGAAAGCCATCAAACTGGAGAAGAAGCAGAAGGTAAAGGCGGCCTCGCTCCCCGGCGGCTTAGGGTCGGGCAGCAGAGGCGGGAAGGGCTGGCCCCGCAAAGCTCAGCTCCGAGACTGAGCCCCGTGCACGCCTGTCCCTGGGGGTGGCCGGGAACCACACTGCGTGTGGCCTGGCCCAGGGGGCACTGTGGGAAGTTAGAGCTCCAGGGGGTCTTGTCAGACTGAAGTCCCACCTAAGCCCCAAGAGTGGAGATTCTGCGGGGCCCGGCCCCTGGCCTGTGTGCCTGACGCAGGATTAGAAACCGGCTCTTGCCCTCTCTCTCTCTCTCTCTCTCTCTCTCTCTCTCGCTCTCTCACACACACACACACACACACACCTGCCTGCGGACTTTCCACCAAACCTCCGCACGGTCTCACACATCCAGGAATGAGATTTTTTAAACATATATTTTTATTGATTTCAGAGAGGAAAGGAGAGGGAGAGAGAGAGAGAAACATCAATGATGAGAGGGAGTCATGGATCAGCTGCCTCCCACCAGGGATCTAGCCAGGACCCAGGCCTGTGCCCTGACCGGGAACCGAACCGTGACCTCCTGGTTCATAGGTGGACGCTCAACCACTGAGCCACGCTGGCCGGGCCGGAAATTAGATTTAAATTCATTTCTGCACAGGCTGACCTGGCCTCACAGAAAACCGCCCCGTGATATCTACAAAGAAAAGGCTGAGAAGGCAGAGGGGGCGGGGCACAGGGAACACAAGTGGGGCCTTGACTTACGAGTGTCCCAACTAACAAGTTTTTTGAGATACCAGCCGTCTCTCGGCCGATTTTTTGCATTGAGTTAATAGAGTAATTTGAGTTAACGAGCTCGGTCTCAGAACGAATTAAACTTGTAAGTCAAGGCCCCACTGTATTGCACTCAGGAGAGCGTCCCGTTCCCAATGAATGACTCGGGCCCCGAAAACACTTCCGGGGCATCAGCTACGTCATCTCATCGGCGCCTCTCAGAAGCCCGGGCGGGGGTGTGACCTGCTTCCCAGGGTGGACATGGAGCTCAGAGGGGCGGTGCCCACGCAGGGACGGGGAGCGGGGACGGACCCGGTCCAGCTCGGCCAATTCCTGCAGCTCGAGGCCGGAGACCCGCGCCGTCACTTAAAGCCAGACCCCTCCTGCTCACGGGGCTGTATCGGTCTCATCAGGAGCAGGACTTTGGTGTCCCTGCTGTTCCAATGCTCAGGACCATGGCGTCCCCCCACCTGGCAGCTTGGCTTCTCTGAGCGGCCAGGGAACGGCCAGGGGAGCGGCCAGGGGAGCCGCCAGGTGAGCATCTGCCTCTGCATTTCTCTGGCTGCAGGTGAGCCTCGGGAAGCTTTATGAGACCCGGAGCAGCCAGCTGAGGAAGTACAAGCCGCCCGTGAAGCTGGACGCCCTCTGGCATATGCCTCACTTCCAGAAGGTCAGGCTCGCTCCCTCCCCGCACCGGGCGGCACCCCTCACCTCCCTGGCGGGGTCCCCGTCCTCTCGACAGCGAGCTCTGTGGGCTCCCAGCCACCCAGTAATACCAACAGCAGCGCTGCCAGCCCTGAGCGCATCCTCGTGCCGGCCTGGCTCAGGTCACGACCTTCACACTCCCTGAAGGGCCGCTGCTCTGCCCGTGGGCTGACCGGGCACAGCGCATGCTGGTAAGGGCAGCCTCGGGCTGAACCCGCCGTCTGACGGCTGAAGCCTGGGGTCTGTCCACGGGGCGGGCACTGTGGGTCAAACCCCCTCCAGGGAGGGGGCCGTTCAAACACCACCCCCTGCCCTGGAGACTTGGGGGCGCAGACAGCTCCCCAGGGGGCATCCCTGGGAAGCAGAGCAAATGCCTCCAGCAGCCACCAGCTCCAGCCTCAGAACTGAGTGGTGTCCCTTCGGCCGCATGGCCCTGCATCGGTGCCCATAAGGGGGGGGGCGGGGCACTGTGCCGAGGAAGGAAACGGGGCGACCTGGGGACCCAGCGTCGGGATGGGGGGAAGACAGCAGCACAAAGCGGCATTCCCGGCCAGCCAGGCCCGGCGCCTTGTCGGGCTAAACTGCAATGTAGGCAATAAAGGGGCCGGCGCCTCCCTGAGCCTAATGCAACCGAACAAGCTGCCGAGCTTCGCGAGAAGCCTGCCGCCCCCATGACGCGGCCTCTCGTGTCCGCCCGCTGGCCTCTGTCAGCACGTGTCACTGACCATTTGCCCCGCCGCCTGTCCGCCGCCCGCCCCCGCGCACGGGAACATGACTGGCCGTCGGAGGCCTGGAGCCGCCGAATCGCTGCTGTGCGGTGGGTCCGCCTTGGCACCAGATGCCCGCGTGGCTCTCGGCCCCACAGCAGCGACTCCCACCCTCAGCCCCTTCGTCTCTGATGTAGGATCTGCCCGAGTCCCAGGCGATGGACAAGGAGGGCTCAGGGGCCTCCCCAGCGGTGCAGGGAAAGCCTCCACCCCCCACCCCCCCACCCCCGCTGTCCCGGGGCAGGGCCAATGTCCCGGGGCAGGGCTCCTGCCTCACTCGCCGCCTCCCTGCAGAAACAAACCAACAACTTCTATGTTCAAAGGCGGAGGCTCGCCTGAGCCCTGCGGTCTCTCCCAGGCGTCTCTGCCTAGAAAGCGCTGCTGTGCGCACAGGAGCCGACCCGGCATCGTGCTGTCACCCGTGTGTGTGTCCTACGAGTGTCCTGACCCCTGGGCAGAGCGCAAGCTGGGCCCGGAACCCTGGGGCCCGGGACTGCAGGGCCCAGGCCAGCCCCATCGCGCCGCAGAAGCCGCAGAAACCGCGAGGGAGAGTGGGGATGCCAGTCCCGGGCGGGAGGGTGCGCCTCATCTTGTCCGACTGCCCGTGCGACTCTGGGAGCCACCTGGTACACCCACACAGACCCCGATGCGGCCACCACCGACGGGACACTCAGCCCCACCCCGCCCCCCGGAGGAAAGTAACACCCGCGAGAGGGCCTCTGAGCTCACGCCCGGCCCCGAGGGCTGGACGTGCGTGACCTACAGACCTGAGGTCCCCGATCCACTGCCGAGGAGCCTGAGGCTCAGAGAGGCCGAGGCCTGGCCCTGTGAGAGGGGACCCAGGTTCAGTCCGGGGCTGCCTAGCCTCTTCTTCTCGCCACTGGGCTGTGCTGCCCCCTGGGACCTGGCCCCCCTGGGGGACCCCTTTCCCCTTCCCCTTCCCCCCCGGGGCCCCAACCCCCGG